AAGCTTTCAAGAGGGAACCTAGATCCAGAGGGCATGGAGGAAGGTAGAATCTCCACTGAGTAGTATCCAATCTGTCTAGGCAGGGCTGATGAAATGAAATGCAGACGGACCTCTTGTGATATAATAGTGAATAATTGTTATTAGGGCAGATTGTGAGGGATGGAAATGTAAAAGTAGACATTTTATAGCAAGAAGGGGAGTGATTAACTTTCCAGTCTAGGAACGGAGGTTCCTAGGACAATCAACGGAGAAGAGCGGAGAGCGGGACCCTACCCAGAGAAGCAGTGATGCCTGAGATGGAGACAGAGACGATGACATGGAGCGATGAAGCAGCTGGGGACTTTAGATCCAAAGAGGGGGAGAGACTGTGTGCTGAAGACCCGGGAGGTGTGGGGGGCAGGCTTGCAGGGTATACCCTTTGTTTGGTTGATGATGCATGAAGGGGATTCTAACCATGGCAATGAGACGATATACAATAGAATGAATGTAAAACTAATGTTCTCCCATGTAAACTATCACATAATTCACAGTAAAACATTTAAGGAAAAAAAAAAAAAAGTACATTGTTTTCTTCAGAACGTCACTAAGATTCATGATTTGGGGGTGTCGAGGGGTTTATGTCTTTTCAATGGGAATGTTCCTGAGTTACTACATCAGTCAGATTGTTGCTGTCCACATAAAAGCGATATTATCTATGCAAATTCATCAGCCCACCTGTCTTCTCATGTGAATTCTGTCCAATTATTTCATACTGAAATACAACTGAGTTATAAATGAATTTTCTACTTCAATTACTACGTCTATTGTGGATGAGATACGTATGCATTCCTATAGAACAGTACAAATTTTTCATAAAAAGGAAGCAGTGAACATGACAAGGTGAGATCTGCTGATTTTGCAGTTAGCCGATGAAAAATTTGCTAAATACGACTGATTGTTCCCAATATACTGGTCAACTAAAATTCAACATCATCAAATGGAATGAAAATTCTGTTTAATCCTCGATTGGAAGCCACCACTGAATGTCATAGCATGTTCTTTCTGATATCAATTCCCAGGTGACCATGCAGATGAGCTGGTGTCATCCCAGGATGGGAAGGACCATTGCTGCTTTGTGCTACTTCCTCCTCTTCTATCCTCAGCTACTGATGTAAGACAGAAACAGAGCTTTGTTAGGTGGTGGGACTATGGTTTTGGTGTGGAAAATTAACTTGTAATGATCATCCTCCACATTTCATTTACATGCTGTAATACTGACTGAAGAAATTCAACACTTAATATTTTCCTCTTTACTGCAAAGGCAAATATTTGATTCATATTTTATGGACAGGACCTTTGAAAACGGTCAACCAAAAAGCTGCTACAAGTTCATTGCACAATAAACACATTCAAATGGCCATATTTGAATATTGCAACTAAGTTTTTCAGTAGATAGAATTGTGAAAAATACAATATAGCAAAACTTTTCAGAGAATTGTCATTATGAAACCACACATAATTCTAATTATTATATTTTAAACATTCTTTTGTTTACATTCCTTAAAGAATAGATTGGCAAACTCTGAATCTGCAGGTATGAATGATAAAGATTTTAAGATTTCATTTTTAAGTTTCAAAAGAGTAGCCTCTAATATCTTTGTCCAGCGAAATAAATGAACTTGTATGGAAGTACAAGTACCACATGACTCAGCAATCTCTGTTTTTGTTGTTAAGTACCGTTGAGTCAGTTCTGACCCATAGTGACTCTGTACAGGGTTTCCATGGAGCAACTGGTAAGCTTGAATCGCCTACCTTGTGGTTCAAACTGACTTTGCAGTCCAGCACATTAACCCACAGTGCCACACCAGGACTCCAGCAATCCCTCTATTGGTATATAGTCACAAGAAATAAGAACCAGGACACAAGTAGATACATGCACACCGATGTTCACTGCAGCACTATTCACAATAGCACAAAAAAGCAGACAGCCTAAATGCCCATCAGTGGAAGAGTACATACACACAATACTAAGCAACATTGAAGAATGATGATAAACCGGGAAAATATTATGCTGAATGAAATAAGTCAACCACAAAAGGGTAAATATTATATAAAGACCACTATTGTAAAAAATCAAGAAAAGGTTTGTACACTAAAAGAAACATTCTTTGACAATCACTAGAGGTGGGAGGGAAGGAAGAGTAATTCACCGGTTAGAGGGTTAACTCATGTTAACTCAGGTGACAATGTACAAAAAGGAGGCTGGCAGATAATGATAGGTGAAAACACAGAAGTATTCAAGGGCGAAAGGGGACAAAGGAAATGATATATAGACAAGCTTGGGGCACGGCATTTTGTGCATAGATACATGAACAGTCATAGGCTGAATGGGTATGGGAGAAATATTAGGATATACATATACTTAGATACCTCACAAATGTAAGAGTTTGAAAGAGGTTATTTGTACATGGGTAACCACAGGGAGGAAGTGGGACAACTATTGGTACATGGAGGAGACTGCAATCATTGAGATGAAACAAAGTGTATGATTTGTTGAAGGTAAAACTGATGATCTTCTCTGTAAACTTTCAGTTCACACACACACACACACACACACACACACACAAACTTGTGGCCCATAAATTGTTACAAAATAACCTCCCTAAATGTGTGTATGTTTGATAAAATATAAGCATTTTCCTGTTTATGTATTTCCAGGTTGTAGCTGTTGTTAACGGCCATCAAGTCAGTTCTGACTCAGGTTGTTGTTGTTAGGTGCCACTGAGTCATTACCGACCCATAGCGACCTTATGCACAGCAGAACAAAGCACTGCCCAATCCTGGGCCAACCTCACTATTGTTGCCACACTTGAGTCCATCAATGCTGCCACTTGGCCAATCCATCTCGTTGGGGGTCTTCCTCTTTTTCTCTGACCCTCCACCTTACCAAACATGGGATCATTCTCCAGTGACTGATCCCTCCTGATAATATGTCGAAGTATGAGAGACGAAGTTTGGCCATCCTGGCCTCCAAGGAGCACTCTGGCTGCACTTCTTCCAAAACAGATCTGTTGGTTCTTTTGGCAGCCCGTGGCACTTTCAATATTCTCCTCCAACACCATAACTCAAAAGCATCAATTCTTCTACAGTCTTCCTTATTCACTGTCCAGCTTTCGCATGCATATGAGGTTATTGAAAATACCATGGCTTGGGTCAGGCACACCTTAGTCCTCAAGCTCTTTGATATTCCATGCGGGCCATCTCTTTGATATCCCATGAGAGTAAAGTTTTACTAAAGGTAATACAGAAACAGCTAAAATCATACATTAACAGAACTTCCAGAGGTTCAAGCCGGATTCAGAAGAGGCCGTGGAATAAGGGATATCATTGCTGATGTGCGATGGATCTTGGCTGAAAGCAGAGAATATAAAAAAAATGTTTACCTGTACTTTATTGACTACGCAAAGGCTTTCAATTGTGTGGATCATGACAAGCTACGGACAACACTGCAAAGTATGAGTATTCCGGAACACTTAATTGTGCTCATGAGGATTCTGTACCTGGACCAAGAAGCAGTTGTTCGAACAGAACATGGGAACACTGAATAGTTTAAAATTAAAAAAGGTGTGCGACAAGGTTGTATTCTTTCACCATACTTATTCAACCTGTATGCTGAGCAAATAATCTGAGAAGCTGGGTTCTATGAAGAAAAACGTGGCATCAGGATTGGAGGAAGACTCATTAACAATCTGCGATATGCAGATGATACAACCTTGCTTACTGAAAATGAAGAGGACTTAAAACATTTACTTATGAATATCAAAGAGAGCACAGCCTTCAGTATGGATTACATCTCAATGTCAAGAAAACAAAAATCCTCACCACTGGACCAATAAACAACATTCTTATCAACAGAGAAAAGATTGAAGTTGTCGAGGACTTCATTCTTCTTGGATCAACTATCAACATTCACGAAAGCAGCAGTCAAGAAATCAGAGAACGTATTGCATTAGGAAAATCTGCTGCGCAAGACCTCTTTAAAGTGTTGAAGAGCAAAGAAGTCTGACTCATAGAGACCATGTATAGGGTTTCCAAAGGGTGGCTGGTGGGTTTGAACAAAATTCTATTAAATGACAATATCCATTGACAAATTAGTTTATTCATTTCAGTTTAAGGTTGTACATAAAATGGGAATAAACGACAATTCAAATAAAGTGAACAGAATAAATGATTTATTAAAACACTATGTGATACAATAAGCTTATGAGCCCAGGGTAGAGTGGTACATGTTTCCTCTCACTGACATTCCACCTAACACAGTTACATTCCAACATAATTGGACCAGAACTTCAAAACATGTATGCCATTTAGAACTCAAGGAAAATAGGTTAAGTGAGTGCACATCTAGGTTTTCTTGATTAGTCAAAGATGATAAGCTCTGTCAATCAAAATCTCATATGCTAGAATGCTAAATTGTATTTATCCCTATCATTGGTAATTGCCCAACCTTACAGCAAAGATCTCATGAATTACATCCTCCCTCTGCATGCACGTGCGTGTACACACACACACACACACACACACACACACACACACACAAATGATCAGGAACAAATTAGAGTTGGGTTTCAACACTCTCTCTGTTTTGTAACTGATAACCACATCATGCCAAAATTTCTCTGAATGGAATTGCTTCCACTGTCCCTTGGGTATCAATAGGTAAATTATAAAGGATAATTTGTAGTTCTCTCCTCTTTTATAGCACTTTGAAGCAAGTGTGTGAGATGCACCCCATGAGGTAGGAAAGTCCATCTTAATAAATTATCTTCTAATTGTAGAGTTTCTGAAAATACAACGGACAAAATGTGAAACCATGCCTTTGATGAGTTCCAAAGGACCAACGATTCATCTCCTCATATTTAATGAATTAATCCCCCGGAGGGTTGAACCCTTTATAGGCACTTGACAACAAGATGCACCAGGGCTCTGAACCACTGCATTAAGAAAGCCTCTCTCCATTCTCATTTGCCGATTCTTTGGACCACCCAGTCCTGCTGGCAAAGGGGGCAGCGATTGTTCTGTTTCACCCACAGGGACATGCAGCAGTTGTGGAAGGAATGATTACATTCCCCCCAGACCACTGAAAGAAAAAGAGAATATTTAACATTACATACTTCAATTCAATATTGAGCTAAAAATTATAGCTGGGTTATTTTCTATTATTAATTTTATAAATAATACTATCAGTTTTCTATTGATTTAACTACGAAAATGGTTAGCTGGTCAAAATAACTTCTTCTGTTTACAGAGTAACAAATAGAACTTACATGTAGAGTTACATTTCTGACATAAATTAAATGTTTGGGGGACTTTCCATTACTGTTCAAGAATCTGTGGGTGATGTGGTGGCCCCTGGCTCCTACAAAGCTCCACATGCTGTCTCTTCCTGCAGTCAGGGCCTTAAAAGATGTATCTTCCTCAGATCCCAGGCCTTCTCAGTCATACACTGACTTTAGAGTTCTTTTGGGCTTTATTTAATAGCGAATGTTCTTCCACCTTTTATTTACTAAGATATAATGAGTTTTAGATGTTTTGATTTTTAAATGTAGGCTATTACAGATAAGTGATGTACTCCTAAACATTACCAGCTGCACATCTACTGGGCTATTTTCTAGAAGTTGTAAAGTTAAGTCATTTACAAGCAGCACAGTTCCTCTCCGGCCAAACAGAATGAAACTTTCAAAGTGGCTGGCTGGAAAGAGAGAGATCGCCTAGTGATCAAACAAAGTTGCTATATCCCTCATAATTCCCAAATAAATATATATTTTTAAACAAACAGCATTAAAAAAACAACCTTAAAACCAAGGGAAATCACTCATCAGTCTCAAACTTGGACTTTGTTCCTTGCTTGACCAATTGGGCTATACGACAAGGACCAAGATTAAATAAAATAGGAAAAAAAGAAAAAAAAAATACCTTATTTCTTATGAAAATTAACTGCAGGGATAAGAAGCAAGGGGAAAGCATTCCAAGTATTTAAGGAGGAATAAAGAGTTTGACCAAAATTACATAAATTATTATTGAAGGAGATGTGTGTAAATCACACAAACCCAGAGTACAAAGTTAACCTTTCATTCTAGGGAAAGCTTTAAACATGGTGAACATTTTATAACTGATCACATCAAGGACTAAGACATAAAAACCACTGAATAACTCAAAATTAGGCAAAAACAACTTCTGCAGTCTCAGAATTTAAGGAAAATTTAACAGATTTCTATATACAAACCATGTTCTAAATAAAATACTTGAAACTTAAGACTTTTTCTACCTTATTTGAAAAATTAGATACTATTTTCATACACGGGTATTAAAAATGGCCATGTCTCACAAGAATAAAAGCCAATGCACACTGACTTATAATACAGTCACAATTCAAGTGATATTTTGACAAACTCCTTATAGACGAGGGTTGTTCTTTTTTGATTATCAAAATGCTCACTATGATGTGTGTGGAATATAGAACTCTTAATTACACACAATAAAATAACTTACATATATTCATTCCATTAAGGCCTTTTGAGAACCAACACATTTTATGTTAATAATGGATCACTGCTTTACAGTTTATTTTTGTGTATTGATAAAGTCAATCTTAATTGCAAATTCAAACATCCCCACTGAGAGAAAACCTTCAGTTGAAAAAGCAAGAGAACGAAATTACAACATACCAACACAATCCTCTTGTTTGTTTTCAGCTTGACATCTAAGACAGGCATCTAAAAGTAAACAAATAGCAATACTCATTCTGATGCTCAGAAGGCAAATTTTGAAACCCAGACACTTCAAAGTCAAATAAAAGCCCTAAGGGTTAGAGATGAAGATAAAAAGACTCCTACTATTAATTTCTCATCTGAATATAACTATTTAAAGATGAATAAAGGACAAGGCACTTTACTAATTACTTATGACCAGGAGCAGTTTCACAAGGGTTACTGACCTTCTGTTTGGATAAATTCTGATGAAAAGATGCCCTGGCTGCGGATGCAGCCACTAGAGAAAAATATGCTGTACTCGCCCCGATTACAAGTTATTCTAAGCTCACTGGGCATGCCCATGTAGATCAACCTCAGGGAGAGTTTATTCTCAAGACATTCCTTTAAAATAAACCATGGATGTACATTTGTATTTGTTTATTGGCACTGTACGATAAGCACTGGACTGCTAATCAAAAGGTCTGTTGTTGTTAGGTGTCATCAAGTCAGTACCGACTCATAGCGATCCTATGCACAACAGAACGAAACACTGCCCGATCCTGGGCCAGACCTCACAATCAAAAGGTAAGTGGTTCAAATCCACCAGCACTCTATGGAAAACCTATACAAAGAGGGTTGCTATGAGTCATAATTGACTCAACAGCACTAAACAACAACATGTACACATAAAGAAATTCTGGGAGGATACCGGTACTAATGCGTCAGACTGCAAAGTCATTTGAACTGCAAGGTCGGTGGTTCAAGTTCACTAGCTGCTCCTTAGAAATCCTAAACAGGGTCACTATGGGTCGGAATTGACTCGACGGCACTTAACAACAACAGCAACCGGTATTAAATTTAAACTTTTTTCCATAATCAAATTCTCTTGAGTCATTCATACTTAGGTACAGTAATTTACCTTTAGCTATTCAAAACAGTATCTTTTTACTTTTTTAAAAGACAAGAGTACCTTTAAAATAAACTCCCTTGTATGCTTCCAACGGATTAACAATGGCAGTTACTTAAACAAGACAGGTGAAAAGGCAGTGACATTTAGAAGGGAAAGTAAGAGTTCTGGAGCCAGGCAGAGCTAAAGTCAAACCTCATCTCATAGCTACTAACCAGCTGTGTGGTTCTGGACCACTTACGAAGCATGAGGTGCCCCAGTTTCCCGAGGGATACTACTACCCTGATGTATTTATGGACTACGTTGCAATGGTATATGAGATAAGAAGTTCTCAATAATAGTCTTCACTTTCTTTTAAAGAAAATGCTCTTTAGAGATAAATATGAGTTTAAAGCACATACAATGGCAAAATAAATACTAGGAATGGAAAAAAACTAAAGGGTAAATAAGGTGGTTTTAAAATTTCACTCTGGGAATGAGCAGTTGGCTCCTTTGCCATGAGACCAAAAGAACTGGATGGTGGCCAGCTACTATTACTGATTATTTTGGTCAAAAGTTTAATAGATTAAAAGGGGGAGAATATGCAGAACAAAATTTCACATTCTCATGGTGCAGTGGCTTAACACTGGGTTGCCAACCACAAGATTGGCAGTTCAAACCCATCAGCTGCTCTGAGGGAAGAAGATGAGGGTGTCAGCTCTCATCAAGATTTACAGTTTCAGAAACCGTAAGGAGCAGTTCAGTTCTACTCTGTCCTCTAGGATTGCTTCGAGTTGGAGTTGACTTGATGGCAGTGGGTGAGACATGGAATCAAACAGCAATTTGAAAGATGGAAGCTTAGGAGGCAGAGTGTATGTTAATGAAGGAGTGACAACTCAGAAAAGGAGAAATGGTTGCACAACTCAAAAGAATGTAGTCCATGTCATTGAATTGTATGTTTAGAAAAGTTGGAATTGGTGTTTTACTGTGTATATACTCAACAAGAGCAAAATAAAAACACAGTCAGCAGTACAATTTGCTGACAAAGGATGCAAAATATTTTAGAACTGTTACTGGTTGAAAGAGTTATCAAAGGAGTAAAAGTTGAAATCAACAGAGAAAAGCTGTTTTTAACATAAAAGGAGAAAAATAATTCGGTAAAAGCAGAAACAAGAGGGAGCTAAAGCCTGCTTCTCACATTACACTTAATTATGCACAGGTATTTGTTTCTCTCCACATGCTCTTGCCCTAAAACACACACACACACACACACACACAAACAAAAACCCCCACATCACCCTAGACCCATGTGTGAATTAAAAACTAGTGCCTCCTGAGGCTTTCTTCAATCTCTACCTAGGCTGTGAAAGGAGTTATGCACCAGGACAACAAAATGACCATTGCTCAGTCCCTGGTCTCAAGCATCTCACCAGCAAGTGGGGAGACAGACAGACAGACAAGGATTGTGATAATTAGTGAAGAAATGCTACCTATATATGGCTCTGGTTCTGGCTTTCACAAGATTTGAGAATTTTAGAACTCTAAAGGAAAGGAAAACTCAGGTGATCCCAACGGTTTCTTTTACAAGTTAAGAAAATAAGACTCCAAAAGGTTAAGTCAAATGCCTACATTATTAACACAGTCATGAAGGGTTACTGCAGCTCTTCATAACCTAGCTGTACCGGAACACTTATTCCTCTTTTCCTCAATGGCATTTGCTGACTATGTCATTTGTTTCTTTGAGGGTGAAGAGAAGTGTTGCTCATGTCACAAAGGACTGGCAGGCAAATCTTAGAGCAAGAAGTCAAAAATACATCACTTAGGTGTCTGAGATCAATTACAAATATTTAAAAATGGGACTAAGTGGGCTCTTGTTTAAGAATCTAAACTCTCTGGATTGTGCTTATGTTGTTGTAGCCTATAGTTTAAATCTACTTTGAAGGATTAACCCAAATCTATAAGCATTTCTAAGACTTCAGGTTAAAAAAATTTTTTTTCTTTCAATATTATTTTAGCCATAGCAGCATACTTCTAAGGTGTACAATAGCAGCAACATCTTTTAGTATGACTCTAGGTAAGGATTGTTGTTGTTTATTACTGTCAAGTTGGTTCCAACTCACAGCAACCTTGTAGAGGGTTTCCAAGGAGTAGCTGGTGGGCTTGAACCGCTGAACATGGGGTTAGCAGTCCAGAGCTTATCCTACAGCGCCACATTAGGACTTAATAGAGTAAGGATTAGAAAGTCTTTAAAACTTCTTTCTGGAATCACCTGTCCACTAAGTGGATATTAACACATCATAAACCAAAACCAAAGGTTTAGTCTAAAGTACTTTCTTGAATTCAAAGTACAACTGTTACAATAATACTGAAGTAGCAGAATACGTGCTATAATTAGAAAGCTAATAATGCAAGGGAACCATTTGTAATCCATACTTTAACTTGCTTTTTAAAAAACCCTTTTACCATAAAGAATTAGTTAAAATTTATTTGGTACAAAATTTGATTATTTTAGGTTTATCTGTTTTTATTTACTATTTAAAATTTTTTCTTTGGGGAGAAAATTATTTTTATAGAGACAAATTCTTTTTACATGAATGGAAACTTATGGGATGAAAGTTTTAGCAAAGATTGTACTGCAAAGAAGGTATAATTAAATTGCTTGAATTAGTTTAAAATGTCAAACTAGAAATTATGATTCTCGGTCTTAAGTGAGATGTTTGTGGGAGAGTAGAGGATGAGGAGGAGAGAAAGTAAATAAACTAGATGCTTTAAAAATCTAATAAGCAATATAAACAGAAATCTAAAATCAAATTCTTTCCAAAATAAAAATGTTTTGCATCCCACTGTTACAAATTCTCTCTTAAACAAACTTTTATGAATTATAATAAATGAGGATATACTAAAGAGAGCATAAATTAAGAACTCTCTTGATTCTGGCAGGTATCCTAGTTTACAAGAAATTAGGTATGATTAAATTATATTTGTCTTTTCACTGACATTCATTACAAATGAAACATGTTCACTGTGGTGTTTTGCTTTATAGAAGTCATCTATCAAACATAACCATTTTCTGTTTTGCTTTGTTTTTTAAAAGGGAAACACATTTTGTTCATGTTGTTTTCTCCAATTGTTTCATTTTCAGGTCAAACCAGAGTTTTCAAACCATAGAACCACATATTTTTCACCTACCCTGAATAAACATTTAAGATGCTCTGACAATTTAAAATGTCAACTAGCATTCAAACAGCACACGTATCAAGGTGGTCTGAGATCTTAAACCCGAAGCCATAGAAAACATTAACTGGTTTAAGCAGTTCTGAAAGGTTTCACTTGGTCCAATATTTTAATTCAATATATCATAGAAAGAGATCAAATATAATTGCAAAAGAGGCTTCTCCACAAAGGCATGACACAGCTGGGTAGTATCGCCTCTAGGAAATGACATTCTCTGAAGGGGGTTGGGGGTGGGGTGTAACGGGTAGGGGGTTGAGATCTAGTTTTATAACTCTACCCAAAAGGCATTTATTTGGAGTAAAAGCATCATCCCTGAATAACAGACGTGAATTCTCATGAAACATAAATAGTCTTGAAATACACTAATGGACTGCAATGGCTGGGAACACTCCTTTCCAGCACTTTTCAAGAGCAGAGTGTTGTCAGTTTCTGAGGAGGATGACTCTAGAGGATCACTTGGTGTGACCCGACCAAGTTTTCCTGGGATCAGGCATGTCCTTTCCTAGTTTTGCTTTCAGATATGGAGCCAGGGCTGGACACACAAAACAATGTGGTGCTTCCCAGCTCCCAGTAAGTCAACCAGTTTAGCTTGTGGATACTCGACTACAAGTCTACAGGTTGGCGGTTCAAACCCACACAGAGATGTCTTTGAAGAAAGGCTTGGGAAAGGTCTCAGCCTTGAAAACACTATCAAGGAGTTCTACTCTGCACATATGACATGGGTCCCCATTAACAGAAATCAGCTCCACTGCAGCCAATAACGACAACCTGACACTACTTCTGTTTAACCTTCTCCTAGTTTACTGCTATTTCCCTTGTTAGAATACCAGCGCCCCCACTCAAGCTCGGCCCTGGGCTCCAGTGGAACCACCCGGCGGCCCCAGCGGCAGCCACCACAACCCTCAGATCAGCGGCCGCACGGGTGTGGCCAAGGTCCCAAGGCGCCCCCGCCCACGCCTGCAGGGGGCTTTCTGAGGCCCTGCTCGCCCCGCCCCCTACCCCAGAGACGGGCCCGCGGAGGCCTCAGCACAGCCCGGAGCTCGCGTGCAGCGCTTACCCATCACCTGGACCCGGCAGATGGCGCATGTATCGCACTCCACGTCCCAGCTCCACATAGCCACCGCGTTCCACTTCTTAAGCGAGAACATTTTGTCACCCCCTGACTTGGAGCCTCCGCTCCCGGAGTGAGAGGAGATGACGCCGGGTTCCTCGCCGTCTTCTACATCGGCCATGTCGGTGGCGCGGAGCCGGCGGCGTAGACGTTGGACCGGAGTAGGAGGGCAGCTATGGCGGCTCCGTGGGGCCGCCGGGTGGGACACAGCGCCACCAACAGGCAGCCAGTCGTCGCGGTGCATCCGATTGGGGCCTCCCGCGATAGGCTGGCGCGGCATCATGACGTCATCTGCGTCCGTGCCAGGGCGGAGCCTCAGTCCCCGCCTACCACACTGAATGGGGCTGCTAAACTAATGGTCAGCAGTTCGGAACTACCAGCTGTTCCGTGGGAGAAAGATGAGGCTTTCTGTTTCCGTAAAGATTTACAGCCTCGGAAACCCTATGTAGGGTCGCTATGAGTCGGAACCGACTCCACAGCACATAACAACAACAGGTTTCTAGGATGGAAGTCTGGCAACTCTGTTAAGTGTTACCTGTGTCACATCAGACTTAGAGATTGTGCAGGGATCTGTTTTAGGCCTTCATTAAACTTACCACCTTCAAAAAGTATCTTGTTAATTTGCCTCCCGACTTAAACTCCATCAGAGCAGGAACTGTGTCTTCATCACTATCCTAGGTGAAAGAGGGAAATGATGGTGGTGGTGGTGTGTTCTGGAGTTGGTTCCGACTCAGAGTGACTCTTTATAAGGGTTTCCGAAGATGTAAATCTTTATGAGATCAAAAAACCCTTCTGTCTCCCACAAAGCCGCTGGTGGATTCAAACTGTTCACCTTGTGATTTGCAACCCAACTCATTACCAGGGTACTTTGAAAGAGGGAAATGGCGTCTGAATATTATTATTGTTGCCCCTCTGAAAAAATCCTAGGGATCCTGGACCAAACTTTGAGAACCTCTAACCGAGTCCCGGTGTGGCGCTGTAGGATAAGCACTTGACCATCAGATTCGAGGTCAAACTCACCAGCCACCTGGGAAACCCTATACAGGCTTGCAATTAGTAGGATCCCAGTCGAGGGCACTTAACAACAACTATGAAGTTTGGGAGGAGTCCTGGTGTGGCACTGAAGGATAAACAGTTGACCACAAGGTCCGTTTGCACTGCAAAATGAGGGGTTCAAACTCACCAGAGCTCCTCAGAAACCCTATACAGGGCCACTATGAGTCGGAACCGACTTGATGGCACTTAACAACAGCTACGATGTAGTTTAGGACTCTTGGTATGGTGCTGTAGGATCAGCACTGGACTGCGAACTATGTGGTCACCAGTACAAACCCACTAGCTGCTCTTTAGAAACCATACACATGGTCTTTGTGAGTCAGAACCGACTTGACAGCACTTAACAACAACAACAAAGTAGTTTAGGAGTCCTGGTATTGTGCTGTAGGATAAGCACTGGGCCGCAAGGTTACCAGTTCAAATCCACCAACTGCTCCTCAAAAACCCTATATAGATCTACTATGAATCACAACTTATTTGATGGTACTTAACAACAGTTTAAGGGAGTGGGGTGGCTCTGTAGGATAAGCACTGAACTGCAAACCAGAAGGTTGGGGGTTGGAGCCCATCAGCTGCTCTGTAGGAGAAGAATGAGACTGTCTTTTAAAAAATTGAAATCCTTCAGCGAACTGATACAGGACCAGAGGCACTCACTCTTTTATGCCAAGAAATTGAAAAGACAGCTACCTGGTTAATTGATTGGAAGAAATCCCTATTTGTACCCGTTCAAAAGAGAGGTGACCCAACAGAATGCAGAAACCGTTGAACAACATCATTAATTTCACATGCAAATAAAATAATCTGAAAATAATTCAAAATCGGCTGCAATAGTACATCACGCGTGAATTGCCAGAAATTCAAGCTGAATTCAGAAAAGGATGTGGAATTAGGGATATCATTGCTGACATCAGATGGATCTTGGCTGAAAGCAGAGACTACCAGAAAGATGGTGGTGGTGGTGGTTGGTTCCGACTCAAAGCGACCCTGTATAGGATTTCTGAGGTTGTAAATCTTTATGGGAGCAGAAAGCCTCATCTTTTTCCTGCCAAACGGGTAGTAATTTCAAGCTGCTGACCTTGAGGTTAGTAACTCAACTCATAACCACTATGCTACTAGAGCTCCTTAGAAAGATATTTACTTGGGCTTTATTGACTATAAAAGGCTTGTGACTGTGTAAATGGATAACATTGTGAAGAATGGGTATTTCAGAACATTTAATTGTGCTCATGAGGAACCTGTACATAGACCAAGAGGCAGTTGTTCTAACAGACAAGGGGATACTTAATGTTTAAAATCAGGAAAGGAATATATCAGGGTTGTATTCTTTAACCATACTTATTCAATCTGTATGCTGAGCAAAAATCCAAGAAGCTGGATTATATGAATAGGAACATGGTATTAGGATTGAAGGAAGACTTCTTAGCAACCTTCATTATTCAGATGATACAACCTTGCTTGATGAAAGCAAGGACGATTTAAAATACTGATGAAGATAAAATACTACGAAGCATCTTCTCAGACCACAATGCTATCAAATTAGAAATCAACAATAGGAAGACCAAGGAAATAAAGTCAAATACATGGAAACTGAATTACACCCTGTGGAAAAGCGACTGGGTACTAGAAGAAATAAAACGTGAATTCAAAGTTCCTAGAAACAAATGAGAACGAACACACAACATACCAAAATCATTGAGGCATGGTGAAGGCAGTGCTGAGAGGACAATTTATTGCGATAAATGCACACATCCCAAAAGAAGAAAGAACCAAATTTAATACATTAACACAGCATCTACAACAATTAGAAACAGACCAACAGAGGGAACCTACAGCCACCAAAAGAAAAGAAATATTAAAGATCAGAGCAGAAATAAATGAGATAGAAAACAGAAAAACTATAGAAGAATCAACAGGACAAGAAGGTGGTTCTTTGAAAGGATTAACAAAATTGACAGACCACTGGCAAACCTTATAAAACAAAAGAGGGAGAAGACACAAATAACACACATTCGAAACCACATGGGTGATGTCACAATGGAAACAAAGGAAACCAAAAGGATAATAACAGAATATTATGAAAAGTTGTACTCTAACAAATTTGAAAATTTAGAGGGGATGGATACATTTTTAGAAAAACAAGACCTACCTAAACCTACACAGAGAGAAGCAGAAAACCTGAACAGACCCATAACAAAAGAAGAAATTGATCAGGTCATCAAAAGACTCCCAACCAAAAGAAGTCTGGGCCCAGATGGCTTCACTGGTGAGTTCTACCAAACATTCAGGGAAGAGCTGTCACCAATTCTACTCAAATTATTCCAGAATATAGAGGAGGATGGAAAACATCCTGGTACATTTTATGCAGCAAGCATAACCCTCATATCAAAACCAGGGAAGGACGTCACTAAGAAAGAAAACTATACACCAATATCCCTCATGAACATAGATGCAAAAATTCTCAACAAAATCCTAGCCAACAGAATCCAGCAACACATCAAAAAGATAATACACCATGATCAAGTGGGATTCATATCAAGGATGAAAGGATGGTTCAACATTAGAAAAACAATCAACATAACCCACCATATAAATAAGAAAAAAGAAAAGAACCACATGATCATATTGATCAATGCAGAAAAGGCATTTGACAAAATCCAACATCCATTCCTGATAAAAACACTCAACAAAACAGGAATTGAAGGGAAATTCCTCAACATAATAAACAGAATATTAACAAAACCAACAGCCTACATTACTCTCAATGGGGAGAAACTAAAAGCCTTCCTGCTGCACACAGGAACAGACAAGGATGCCCTTTGTCACCATTCCTATTCAATATTGTGCTGGAAGTCTTAGCAAGAGCTATATGGCAAGACAGGGAAATTAAAGGCATCCAAATTGGCAAAGAGGAAATAAAACTCTCTCTATTTGCAGACGGTATGATCCTATACATAGAAAACCCCAAAGACTCAGTAAAACAACTTCTAGACCTCATTGGAGGATTCAGCAAAGTGGCAGAATATAAGATCAACATACAAAAATCAGTTGGCTTCCTCTATAGCAATAATGACAGCACTGAAAAAGACATTAGGAAAGCAATACTATTTATAATAGCCACCCAAAGGATGAAATAGCTAGGAATAAATGTAACCAGAGAAACAAAAGACCTATACAAAGAAAACTACAAAACACTACTACAAGAAACCAAACACCAAAAGGGACCTACAAAAATGGAAGAATGTACCATGCTACTGGATAGGAAGACTTAACATTGTAAAAATGTCAATACTGCCCAAAGCAATTTACACATATAATGCAATCCCAATCCAGATTCCAACGACATTCTTCAAAGAGATGGAAAACAATTACAAGCTTTTTATGGAAAGGAAAGAGACCCAGAATAAGCAAAGCACTACTTAAGAAGAAGAATAAGGTTGGAAACATCTCACTCCCTGACTTCAAAATTCATTACATGGCTACAGTGGTCAAAACAGCTTGACATATGCTATATATGCTACAATGAAATATACATAGATTAATGGAACAGAACTGAGACTCCAGAAATTAACCCATCCACATACAGCCAACTGATTTTCGACAAAGTACCTAAATATATCGCATGGGGAGGGGATAGTTTTTTCAACAGATGGTGCTGGCAGAACTGGAAAGCAATATACAAAAGACTGAAACAAGATCTTTACGTCACACCTTATACAAAAACCAACTCAGCATAGATTAAAGACCAAAATGTGAATCCCAGAATTATGAAGGCCATCAGTGAAAAAATAGGGACAAATGTGAGGGCTGTAATTAAGGGAATACACAGACTACCAAACAGTTTGAAAGTAGACAAAATAGATGAGTGGGACATACCAAAAATTAAAAACTTAAATGCATCAAAACACTTCACCAGAAGAGTAAAAGGGGAACCCCCAGAATGGTAAAATATATTTTTCAATGACACATCAGACAAGGGACTCATTTCTAAAATATATAGGAAATTACAACACCTCTACAAGAAAAAGACAAATAACCCAATTAAAAAATGGGCACAGGACACGAACAGACACTTCACCAAGGAGGAGATCCAGGCAGGCAACAATCATATGAAGAAATGTTCATG